ATGACTCCAAGGATTTGGTTGAGACACAGTTCGTCTTTCCAATTGACGCGGACGCCGCTATTTACCATTTCGAGGCAGAGATTTGCAAAACGCGTCTTGTGGCAAAGTGTCGAGAACGGCTTGAGGTAAGCTTTTGGAATAAAGTACTATAATCAATATTACTGAAGGGATAGTATATCCTTGCTTTCAAGGAGAGAAAGTGGATTGCTTTTAACTTTTCCATTGGATATGTTTGCGTGATGGGAACGCTCAAGCGAAGACGTAGTATTTCGCTCGTCTGAACCCTTTGGCATAAGAGTTGGAGAAAGAGCCCCTTACTTGCACAGATTTGTATAAGACTTATTCATTCAGAAGCGAAACCGGAGAATGTATTCTTCTAGCTCAGTAAGGTTAAGTGGTCTACGCCTAGTTTCTGACATGGTGGGATAAAGTTGTAGTAATAAGTTCATTGCCCTGTCTGTTTTACCTTTCGAAATACCCTTAAACATTTTTACATCAAACGTACAATTAAACAGGACGTCGTCCGGTACTCTCTGTTCCCAGTAAGCAGAGTGAACTTTACCTTTGGGTTGACCACATTCACTCAATAAAGACCCTAAAGTCCCGCTGCTGAAGATGAACTCAGCATGGGTGTTGACACCTATTACCTGGCCACGCTACATAGAAGACGCTTAGACATGAAGTAACTGACCAACACATTTAAGCACCAACTCCCTTATCACCGTCTTAGGACTAATGTGTAATCCGTTGATCTCAGAACAGTCAGTTTTGATCGGCCAAATTTTCGACTCATGCAATGGCACTTATCCTTAGTTCTTGTAAGATATACAAGGACTACTGCCGAACACTTATTAAAATTAATAATACTGTTTGGTTCCCTATAGGCTAAGGAAACGTACCAGGAAGCGGTGGATGCCGGTCAAACTGCTTTCTACATGGAGGAAGACGAATTCATGGGTGACACCTTTACGATGAAAGTCGGAAATATTCCCCCGACGGAGACGGCAGTTATAGAACTGCGCTTCTTCTGCCAGCTTCAAGCACAGGAAATAACCGACGACTCCGGTAACCACACGGTGGCGATTTTCGCGCTACCTTCTGTCCTCAATCCACGGTATACACCAGAAGGTATGAAGACCGCCTTTCCGCAGACAATGTTGTTCCTTACTATTTACTACATCCCTTTCAGCGTTGTTCATATAATAAGAATCCTTCGTTTGATACAAGCCAGTTTTTTGACTTCTTCCATTATTGTGATAGCATTTTAGCAGGAAAATTGTTTGTCCTAACGACTGTGTGTCATTGTAGGAAACCATTAGGTAGGTGCCAATCTCTGGCATAAATTTCGATTTTGGGTTTGTAGCTTTAGCTTCGAAAGTTAGCTATCTCTTAGCTTTTCGTGTTTTCATTTGTCCTAGCTTCTGAAAGCCAAAGGCAGTTTGGCCCGCCAAATGAAATCCCATTCTGCAAGGTGAACGTACCCTACACATTTTCATTCTCAGCAAGTCTGACTTCTCAATCTTCAATAATGGGGGTGACTTCCGCGAAGGACACCTTTCAATTGAAGTACCAGGGAGAAGAAAAAAAAGCCGCAAAGGTAATTATAATGCCTAAGAAGGCCAACAACCTCTTGAAACATTACCGATCTCGTGAAGCTTCTGCTATTTTATGGGAATAGACTGTTGATATTTCTGATAATTTAAAGTTATTGACTTGCCCTTAAAATTTAACTTTCCGTACTATCTTAGTAATCGAGGTCACTGTTACGTTTATTTTCAGATGACATTGCAAAGTGATTTCAAGTTTGACCACGATCTGGAAATGGAGATAGTGTTTGCCGATCCGACCAAATTGATGGTCACATACGAGGAAGGTGATTCAAAGGCTGGAAGCGGAATTCTCACCCTCGACTGCCTGACTGTGAACTTCTTGCCAACGTTTGAGGAGGGCACTGACGCACGCAATGAGGTCATTTTCCTTATTGACCGCTCCGGTAATAAAAAAATTTTTTCTATCTATACAAAACTAAACACATGCTCTGCTCTGGCTAACTGCAGCCAACAACAATTTTCAAACAGAAGTCACTACTAATATTTACAGAGTTAATATGTTCAAGAAACCCTTTTCTTATTGTCTAAACCACTAAGTACTTCCCGAGCGAGTAATCTGATATTTTTCTGATGAAAGTGAAGCAGCATTTCGTAAACAAAAGTTAAGTTTGCATAAGCCCAAAGGTCCTCCAATACATTTTAGACATATATCTCATCAAACATGTATTTAAATGCTCCCTTAAGATTGTCTTATTTGTTAAAATGTGCACTGAGCACTTTCTTTAACATTTTGTTTAGTTTTCGTGATGAGTTCAAATTGGCCTCGGTGATTTTATTTCTTCAGAAGCCTCATCTGAAGATAATTTGACTAACGTAATATTTTCGACAAATTATTGCCTCGACTACATTAAAAGTATCATAACTGTACATTTGTAATCCCCTTAACGCATACATATGTCTCGAGGAATGAAAATACAGGCTTCCATATGGTTTGATCTGCAGCTCACCTATAAATCCAGCCCAGACCAAGAACTCTATGCGCAAACTTAAAAACGCTTAAGTCTGTGTCTATGGGGTATGCTTGTGAGCGTTTCGCAAATAGTTGTGGAATTATGGTGCCATTGTGTATTGCACTACTAAGTGAAGCTTCTTTTCTATGGATCTTTAAGCGCTCTAGCGGTCTGAGAGAACCCTGAAGTGGAACTCATGACAAAACATAATGACCATTTACCGTTCCCAAACGCAATTAGTTAAACGTAATTCTCCCTTGTGTCATCTTAAAGTTAACGACATTTTAATCCCTTCGGTTTTCTACATCTGCAGGAAGCATGAATGGGAATAAAATTATACAGGCGAAAGAATCCCTTCTTCTGTTCCTGAAGTCGTTGCCCACGGATTGTCGTTTCCAGATAGTCGGCTTCGGAAGCACATTCAGCGCACTGTTTGATGAGTGAGTCTTCATTACCACACTTTATTATTCACTATTTAGGTAGACAAACTCTCCTTTGTTGCAATGGTAAAGTGGCTAACTCAATGACCAATTCCTTCTAGTTCGTTTCTCGTGGGTTCCAAATTTTGACCTTTTGTATGATTGGCTGACGGTGGCTTACAAGCCAGAAAGTGTCGTTTCGCTATCGCTTTGCTTTGTTGGATCCATTCCACCATATAAATGCGTGTCTATTTATTTGTCCGCAAGAAGGGCATTTGCCAGACATCATCTTTTAGAAAAGGTTTTCAGTATTTTTTTTTCTCTGCTAGACCAAGAGACTACACCGAGGCGTCAATGGAAGCGGCTCTGGAATACCAAAAGAACACGACCGCGGACATGGGTGGCACTGAAGTGTTGGGAGCTCTGAAAAGCATTTATGCAAAGAAGATCACTGGTTCTGATTGGCATAGGAAGATCATATTTCTTACAGACGGCGATATTACAAATCAACCAGAGGTAATCATGTCCTATTCCCTAGTTTCCTACATCCCAGTCTTCGCCGTGCATTATTTAAAATGGAGATTGTGCACTGATTTCCCTTCGGACCAGGCTTGAACTGTTATCATATATCTGCTCATTCGCGCGAGCTAAATAATTTTTTAAGGATGATAATTTTCTTTACCTATTCAAAACGGCGCAAAAAAAACATGTCGCTCAAAGGTTTTCCTTTAAGGCATACAACAGAGGGTCACCTGTTTACTGAGGTGTAACATGTTTTTCATTAAAATGTGCGAAATCCCAATCGCCTTACACAACCTGGTGTGGGTAGGTGTAGGGCTATCCCATTGTAAAATATCAAACTCTTGACCCAGAACTTTCCCGAATTATATGTTGTCTGATCTCTTAACGTTTAAGTAAATGCTTGCATCTAATATCAACAATGTTATAGAGGAGGTGTTGTTGGCGTTCTTAGACTTACATT